GTAATACGACTAACAGAACCGCTTCCAAATGGGCTCTAAAAAGGGACCTTTCCTAAACGAGTTTTTTATGTGTGGCCTTTTTTTCTTTTTCCCCCCAAAAGTTTCAATATTACGAAAGGAAATCTTCACAAATAGACCAAAAATGAAAGTTATATCACTTTTATCACCCGTAATACTTTATTTCAAAAAAGGTTACTTCAAAGTTTTTTTTTTTCAAAAATGGACCATCCGTACGTATGAAGCCCACTCGTTCAAATTTTTTTCTAATCACACGTGCACCCATGCACATAAAGATTGAATCACTGCTCCCCTCTTCACAAATATTACAAAGGACTTACTCAACTTTTTATTTATAAGTTTAAAATGTAAAAATTCATTAACTCATATATTTGATAATGCTTAGAAAAAATAAAATAAAATTAAAAATTGAATTTAAAAAACATAAAAAACTTAAAATAAAAATAACATTCCAAAAAAAATGCAAAATTGGAAAATTGTAAATTAAATTTAAAAATTAAAGAAAATGAATTTAAATTTTACAAAAAATTTAGAGAAATAATAAATATCTACAAATATTAAAATAAAAAACTTGACAAATATTTTTTAATGTAATTTTTTTAATTAGGTAATATAATCTATTTTATAAAATATAAAAATCAAAAGTTTTATAAAAAAAGAATAAAATAAGATAAAAAATTTTTGTAAATATTATATAATAAGAAAAATAATCGGAATCTTTTATGAAAAATTAATTATTTTAAAAAATTGGAAAATTTACATATTAAAGAAAATAAAAATTCAAATAAATATAAAATTTGAATTCATTCGAAAAGTTAAATTAAAATTTATATTACATAGGAACAAATAAAAACATATTATTTAAATTTTTAAAAAACGGAAAATTAATGTAACCTAAAAGACATTAAAATTAAAATAAACTCAGTGAATACAAATATGAAAAATTAAAATAATGAACTTGGAAAAAATATTGAAAATTTGAAAATTTAAAAATAAGAATTTCTGAATTAATATTTCTTAAAGCACTTAATTTTTGTAATTATTATTATTATTTTACTACTATTAGATTTTGTTGCCTGTTGTTTATATGTGTTTCTTTTTGTTGATAATTATGATTTTTTTTTTTGTTTTTTTTTTGTTTCTTTATGTTTCTAAGTTTTGTGTATATTTATAAATCTAAATTTATCATTTTAGGCGACTATATGTATATGTATATATATATATGTGTGTGTGTGTGTGTGTGTATATATATATATATATATATATATATGGGATGGTTCAAATACAAAGACATTGATGGATAGTGTACCCGGGGGTAGGGGTTATTGCGGAGAATAACTAGAGAGAAGTCAGAGAAAATAAGTAAGAGAGAGTGTATATTCGATATGTGAACTTGTTGTTTTTACAATGGGGAAATGGGCTGCTATTTATAGCAGCCATAAATGCTAGATAGGGACATGTGTCAACATTCTGGTGGCCGAGGGGTCACCTCAATCGGGGTGGCACCGGCACTCGCATGTGCACCGCATTAAATGCGGTAGGTGGATGTGACGTCACATTAAATGCGGTGGTTGACTGTCTCTAAAAGGAATCTTCGCCGATAGTTCTGTGGCCGAAGGCATTGCGTGTCCGAAGGCATCATGTGGGCGAAGGCATTGTGTGGCCGAAGGCATTGCATGTCCGAAGGCATCATGTGGCCGAAGGCATTGCGTGTCTGAAGGCATCATATGGCCGAAGGCATTGTGTGGTCGAAGGCATTGTATGGCCGAAGGCATTGTGTGGCCGAAGGCTCTTCACCTGTGATGTCTCTGGGCGGGTACTAGGCCGAAGGCTCTTCTAACCGGGGGCTCCATTATGCCGAAGGCTGTATGTGCCGAAGGCTTGGTTTTAAGCCTTGTTCTCCTGTGATGTCTCTGAGCTCGATTCCGTCACTGGTAGCCTTCGGCCATGGGGCCGAAGCCCCCCCCCCCCCCCTTTGCGTATTGTGGGATGCTTAGAGCTCCATTTTGCTGGGTTTGGCCCGTTTGGGCCTGTTGGGCCTGATTGCAGTAGTGGAAGTATGTGGGCTGGGGTGTCCCAGACCATATACTCCATCAGACATCTTCCCATGCAAAGTGAGAATGAATCTTGTGCATTCATTTCCACATCTAATGGCTCAAAATGAGCCAAAAATGCACAAAATTCGACCAAAATCGCGGTGGCAATTTCGTAAATATGTTGCACTTTTTTGTTATCGCGAAAAAGTGAAACAGAAACACGCAAAAGTGCAAGCGAAACATGCAAAAGTGCATTTCTTCGCACTTTGCACGGGAAGAGATCTTTTTATTTGAACTCTTCCCTATATATATATATATATATATATATATATATATATACACACACACACACACACACACACACACACATGTTAGCTTTTAATCAAAAAAATATATAAAATCTAAATACACAACAAAAATCAACAACAAACAACATTAAGTACTAAACACAACAAAAAGCAACAAAATGCAACAAAATGAAACAAAATCAATAATAAACAACATGCAACATGATGCAACAATTAACAACACGATGCAACAAAAAGCAACAAGTATGATACAACAAAATGAAACAAAAATATTACTAAATATAACAGTATCACAACAAATACATAATTCGGTCTATTATTTTAATTTATTACATTTATCTATCATAAATGTAATAAATTTGAATCAATGATAAATAATGTGTAGTACTCCTTAATAAGAAACATGATGCAACAAAAAGTAACGAGATGCAACAAAATGCAACACGATGCAACAAAATGCAATACATGTGGTACAACAAAAATCAACAAAAATAATACTACAGGTACATACTAGTATCACAATAAATATATGCTATGATTAAAGATAGATGCTTGACAGTTTACATCTTGGTCAGTGGCTCTCTAAGAAGCTCCGACATGGCGTCGGTCCAATGCTTTCTTCTCTATATTGTTTTCTTCACCTGGGTTTCTGCTAATGTTCAAAATGGGAATGCAGTTACTACAGTGACAGACAACGTAACCCTACTGATGAGCTGGTATAGCACTCAACAAGAGCAGGATTGCGAAGAAATAAACTTCCCTATACATCAACCCAGGACTGGGATGCATGGCTCTGCAATATATAAAAGCTTATCAAGGCGATTGTAAATCTTGTGGTGGAAAAGGCTAAGCTAAGAAACCTCATGAATTGTTAGTTACTCCACTTTTCGTACCTTTGTTAAGTAATGTATGAACTTCTTCAGCATCTATTCATTCAGTTTTATTTGTAAAGAAAGTTCATTTATGTATACACAATAGACAAATTTGCTCAAAAAAAGAACTATGTATGTATACAGAACTAGAAAGGCATATTATATTAAAACTCCGGCATCTTTGAATCTTGATGTCAAAGTAACAAAGCTAAAAAACTACATGAAGCTTGAACACATGTTTCTCATTTGTTCACAAGTTCACCTCATAGGCACTCACATCAGAGAAAATAACCTTCTTCCCGGCCTCAACAATTTCTTATACTAGAATAACTCGTGGGTATCTTAAATATTATCGAAGTCATAATAGAGGGCTTGGAAAGTTAGAAGAATAGAGACGTAATATCAGAGGAATTACCTGACCAAAGCTTTATTTTTCCATTGCTTGCAATTTTAGCAAATTTCATATTCAAATAAACAAAGAATCGTTCAATATATAAAATCTTTTTACACTGAAGCTAACAAACCAGAAAACATTTAATAGGAAGAATAAACAAAAGATCAATAAAATAAAAGTTAAAAAGTTGCAGCTATAGGGAAAGCACTTCTACCAACACGAGTAAGTACTAGCAAGGCTTAATCCGGCCTTTCTGTAGAGGAATAATAACTTCCACAAGCAAATGAACTAGACTTAAAGACACAATGACATCATTATATCCGACTCTATTGCTCAATTCAGTCCTTAAACTAGACATGCCTACTCCAACCTCAAAACCACTTTCTCCATATCGAAAGCACCTTCATTGTAAGCTTCCTCCCTCACCACTTCCTTCACCAACATAGTTTGAGTTGTGCACCGATGCATAGTAAGAGTAGTTTGTTGTTATTCCATAGTTTGAGTTGTCCTTAGATGAATAGAAAAATGAGTTTCTAATGGCATGGAAGCAGGTCTAAAAGGAATGAAAAATCATTCAATTCCAACTACAATGGTGATCCTGCAAGCAAGCAACTCAAATTCATTTACAATTTTTTATTTTGCTTTAGGTAACAAAATTATATCATTTTAATTAAAAAAAGTGCAGCTACAGGGGATGGAATACTTTGCCTTTCACTTCTCTTTCAAGGCACAAATAATACTAGTAATCGGTGATGAATTTTTAACTGTTTCTTCAATCAAGAAACAAAAAACATATATAAATTGAATCACTTATCTGAAATTAAAAGAAGAAGAATGAAGAGGAGGACTCATGACAATCCTTAGAAAAATCTGCACCGCACGCCCCCAGCTACCACATTACTTCTGGTGCCGGCCGAAGAAGACAACGCCCGTGGATTTCAGCCCCTAAGCTAACCGACAAACTGTCTCTGTCTCCCAATGTATCCCAGAGTCACCTAGAGTGTGCGATTGAAGCTGGGATCGATCGATTCTGGAAAGTGTGTCGCGATATGTGAACTCAAAGCTCCGATTGGAACCTATTGAATCTGAGATGTGATCCCCTTTCTCCATATTTTACGCCTGCCAACCAGAACACTTAGGAAGATCATTGTGGAGACGAAAGAAGAAGGGAGACGGAAGTGAGTGAGTAGGAGATGATGAGACTGAATGTCGTCTATGCTTCACAAAGGCAGGAGCCAAAGATTAGGGAATATGTCTTTTAGTTCTAATTACACGAAGGAGGGGAGAATAGTCTAAAACTGAAATAAATAAAGATAACTGAAAACATAAAAGTTAAAAATGAAAAGGAAAAATAATTGAGACATAAATGATACGGATAAGGTGATCCGGTAATTTGCACTATTACTAACTTGCGAAGTACTCCATATCTGTGATGTTCGGCAACTAGTCCACCTTCAGCGACGACGAGGCCATTCCACCGGAAATGACGTCGAAGCTAGTCTACCCGCCGCGACGGCAACTCAAATAGCTTGACAAGAGAATTTGATTGTTAACTGAGATTTCTCTGATTTCTGGACTCTGAGGTCTCATCATTTTTTACACCGGTAAAGCTCCCCATTTCTCATCATTTCAAGTTTCTATTGGATTAAATCTACATGTTAGTCATACTTACATCTAGTGCGCATGTTTTGATTTGTTAAGTTTCCTTGTCCCAATGCTGGTTAATGGCAAGTCGGTAATCATGCTTTCAATCGGCGAAGGATTGCTACAAGATGTTTGCCTATGATACTATCCATCTTACCGTTTCTAATTTCTACCTTATAAATTTATACCGCTTATGAGTCCATCCGAAAACCTGGCTCCTTGTTTTCTTCTGTCAATGGATTGGAGGATTTTTATAATCCCAGTCGTTACAGTATGCATAATTCAGTAGACATTGACTTTATAACTTTATCATCTACTTTTTGATGTTTGATATTATTTAGCACAATTTCTTCTTTGGTGCCGCCTTCAGCTTGATCTCTTATCTATTACAACAATAGGTGTATGAAGCAGTAAATTTTCGTACCACTGAAGTGTGATGTTCATTACCGTGCTTAAAAGCATTTTGGCCAACACAGGGGCCCTACAGTAAAATCGCTTGCCCCTAATAGTAAACTGTCTCAATGAGAGAAATTGTTTTCAGTTTCTAGGTTGAGAGCGATACGATTACCTATTCAAGCATTAGCATCATAGCATGCATAGGGCAGGTCTTGGATAACACTTTCTTCTAATTGGGCTTTTCTTCTAGAACTCCTGTACCTATTAAAAACAATACAATTCCCAATTAGCTTTCACTCCTATTCTCAGGGAAAAGGTTATCAATATAGTTCTACTAGCTGTTAGTGTCTTCATGTTACTGTTTTGAGCTAGTGCTTCTATAACGCAACGTAGCTCTCTACGATTCAATGGTTTACATGATTACATGTATATCACCTAAGATATGCAATCTTAGAGAGGCTTTGAACGTACTAACAAGTACCTTCGTTTACTAATACAGCGTGTTTGGTAGATACAACTCTATATTTGTGTTGCAGCTCTGCAATGTGCTATGTGTTATGTGTATATAGTAATATATTTTGGTACTTTGGTACTTTGGTTAATGTATGTAGTATGTAGTAGTAGAAATGGATTTCAACTCCATCATAACTTGCATTCCATAAAGTTAATGTATGCACTAGTAGAAAAGGCACCGAAATGTATCTTGCTACCGGTATCCCATCCTATTGATTTACCCACTTCAGCTGATAGCTTCTCACCTTCTTTCCCCAAACTTATATTGATATCCTACAAAAAAGACACAGATAGAACATCAGGGAATAGGTTACAGGGATGAAAAGGGGTGTAAAGTTCAAAGTTCAAACTACACTTCATTGTAGCTTTAAGAATTTAAACAACATTAGAATATCAGGAAGACCGAATTCAGAAATTCAACAGCATCCATATACATGTAAGGTACTAGGTCAGAGATATGATAGAAAGTTAGAAAGTGAAAAAAATGAAATCCATATGTTATGTTCAGAAGCTAAGTAAACAACTAAACATAGACTCACCTTTTCTATTGTGGCTATTATAATGTCATAAAATATGCTATCATCCGAGCCCTAACTAAAAAAAATCAGGCAGTTTGTTAATGTGTTTGAGCAGAATGCTGCTTGCCAATTTCGTGAATCCTAATATCACCTGGCTTGCAAATTCTTGGTACTTAAGTTTCATACGTACAGTTTTCTTTAGCAGGGATTGCTGTAGCTGATTCTTAGATGCTGAATTTGGCTGCATCTAATTCAATGTTAACTTGTGAAAGGTAAATTTGGTCATTTTCGCTAGATAGTGAATGGGGCAGAGTTCAAAGAAGAAGAAGAAGAAGGGAAAAGGTAGTTCTTTGTCCAAAGATCAGAACTATTCACTCCCTGGAGATAATGCTGATTTAATTGCAGAAGAGTTTACCGCGTTGTCTGCAATATTTCAAGAGGACTTTAAAGTGGTAGCTTCAGAGTCACCTCCACAAATTACTCTGAAGATCAGGCCTTACTCAAAAGATGTAGGGAATGATGATGCTGACATGTCTGCTCTTCTTTGTGTAAGGTGTTTATCTGGATACCCTTTCAAATGCCCTAAGTTGCAAATAATACCAGAGAAAGGCTTATCGAAAGTCGATGCAGACAACCTTCTGTCACTGCTTAATGATCAGGCTAGTTCTAATGCTCGAGAAGGTCGGGTAATGATTTACAATTTGGTGGAAGCTGCTCAAGAATTCTTGTCTGAAATATTGCCAAAGGAGCATGAATCTGCAGTGCATGTAAGTCCGGAGCAGACACTTCAGCATTCTAGAGGGCCTTTTGTTTTTGGATTCATAGATCTTTTTAACGGTTCAGGGGAGTCATGGAATTGGAACCTTATAATGGAAGGGAACAATAAGCTATATTCTTTAGTGCATACTGACACGTTAGAGAGCTCAAAAAATGAACTGGATGCTCCAGCATCTAAAGTTGATAAAGTTGTGGGGCCAACTATTGGTCCAGATATTAGGCGAGTTTCTTTGCATAAATCTTCCAGGAGTTTAGGTATTCTTGAGGAAGTGAGTGAGAGTGAGAGTAGAAGTTCTGGTGATTTGAGTAGGACATTGTCATCAGATCAATCAATTGGAAAAGATGTCACTGTGAAGAATCTTTTTGTAGAAGGCAATATGTCTGGAAGTGATGATGGCAGTGATTACAAAGGTTTGGAAGGTGAATCTTCTGAATCTGGGGGAGTGCCGGACTCCACAATTCATGAACAACCAATTGGGTGTCTAGAGAAAGATTTAATTTTGGCTCATTTGTTTCGTCTTGCTTGTTCTCCTAAAGGGCCTCTATCTGATGCAATGCCTGGAATACTGTCAGAATTGCTTAACCTAGGGTTTGTTTCAGAACAAGTACGAGATTTGGCTAACAAACCATCTTCAGTTTTTAATAAGACTTTAAGTCAGGCATTTCAGCGGCATATAGCTTCATCAAAGGTTTCGCAATTTTGGAAAGCTTCGTCTGATTTGGATGTACATAATCCTCTGTCTAGTCCAAGCTCACGCTACTTAAATGACTTTGAGGAACTCCAACCCCTTGGACATGGAGGATTTGGTCATGTTGTGCTTTGCAAGAATAAACTGGATGGGAGACAGTATGCTGTCAAGAAAATACGGTTGAAGGACAAGAATCCACCCTTGAATGACCATATTTTGAGAGAAGTAACCACACTCTCAAGGTTGCAACACCAACATGTGGTCCGTTATTACCAGGTGCGAGATAATGATTATAACTCTTAGTTTTCTTAACTATTTGTTGTTTTACTTGTTATTATCATCATTTTTGTCATCATCACCACTACCATCATCAGTTTATTATCATTAAGTGGCTTTCATATTATATTACTAAAACAAAACTCATGGAGAAAATATGACTAAATGGTCACCATAAAAATACCATGATGGTCAGTGCACATTGAAAGTCACATTTTGTCCTTTAGCTGTTATCATATACTTTTCATTATTTATTATCATTATGGTTACTATTATTTTTTTTTGTATTAGAGACTAAACATTAGATTAGTGTTCTAGTTTTAGATTCAATAGCAGTCCGAGCTGCACTCCTTTTACATTAGAGACTAAACACGTTTTCTGTTAATATATTTACTGACAGTTTAATGCTTCAGGCATGGTTTGAAACAGGGGTTGCTGGTTGTATTGATGTTGCTATGTTTGGCTCTGTTCCAAGCTCTAGTTTCAGCTGCAAGGATGCAAGCTCATCTGATGCTTTTGGAAATGAGAACAAGCTTGAGTCAACATATCTGTACATTCAAATGGAATACTGCCCAAGGTTTATTTTCTTATGACTTTCTTCCAGTTATAATCGTTTGTGGTCTATTAGGGAAATGGTAGGGAAAGAAAATATGCAGGGAAATATAAGAAACTTTGGAAGGATGAAACAACAACTACAAGTCTACAACATTACCCCATCTCCGCAAAGGCTCCCACCTACGGTTGGGTAAGCGGGGTCAAGTGTATGCAACCTTACCCCTGTATTAAAGCACATAGAGATTGTTTGCGGATGACTCATGATGAATATCGCGTCAAAAATTTTATGGACCGACTGCTGCTTCATAACAAAGAAGCGCAGATAATTAATTATTTTGTCATATTATATAAGGACTAAGAAATCAAAACATATGTAAAAACATTAGAAAAGTAATCATGTTTTATTTTCATATTCCTGGTAAATCCAAACTTAAGAAAATAGCTTTCCCTCACATTTGTTTTCATTTCCTTAGCATTTCATGTGATGCAAACATACCCTTGAAATGTAGTGAGGATATTGTTGAAAACAGAAAAATAAAAATCAATGGGGTAAACCATTGCCTAGATAATCAACGATAAAAACCGTTGCCCAGAGTCAAAAGGCTAAAATCCAACTTTATTCCAAGATAACCAAGAATGAACCGTGGCAAGGGGTATAAATATCCTTCTGGTAAGAGATTCAACAAAAACCCTAATTGAGCCCAAATTAATTAAACCCTAATTAGGCCCAAATTAACTTTACTAACTACTCTACTAATAATAGGCCCAAACTAGCAAACATAACATAAACTTTGTAATAATAAATAAAACTATAATCCTAGCCCACAACCGGCCTACGGAGGTTGATCCAGGCCCGTTCCCACCCCTTGCTCTCCTTGCTCTCTATCAATCCCTCCTCCTTCGAAACAACCTTGTCCTCAAGGTTGCAATCCGGAAACCGGCTCGCATTTGTCCCTGGGGGCTGCCCGGTATCTTTAAGAAAGCTGCCACTGGATTCTTTCAGCCTACTCATGAAATATCACAAATAATGATTGTCAGATAGCCTTGGACCTGACTTGTTAGTTGAACAAAAATTGAGATGTACTACTCCATAGTCCTTGTCTGCTTGACTCTGGACAACCACTCAAAGCTATTGCCCTTAAACCATGAGTCAGAACAAGCCATCAACGCCTGTGTAAGCTCATCCCATGACATGCCCGGCTCTCGTGCCCATAACCAGGTCAACCAGTATACGGTTGACTCTTCCTTCACAACTACAACGGCTGCCACCTTCTTTCCTGGCAGAGTCCAGTTCAGTTCGAACTGTTGCTCAGCCCTATCAACCTAGCCGATCGGGTCTTCTCCGTCAAACGAGGGCAGCGTCGTGAGAGAGGTGTTGCACAGTCTAGTTCTGAACGAGGATGCTGCTGCCGCGTCGAGTGAAGCCACCGCTGATGAATGCTCCTCCGCCGCTGGTGACGCAAGAGCCTTTGTGAGCGCAACCATGGAGGCTGCAATCTCTGCCAGTTGGATTCCTTGCGCGTCTAGTTTTTGATTTATTAGGGCTTGCTCGGCCACCATTTCTGTCAAACGTTCAGTGATTGATCTCGTCATTCTGGTGGGACGGGATCCGGTAGGTCGGACCAATTGTTGAGAACAGAAAAATAAAAATCAAAGGGGTAAATCGTTGCCCAGATAATCAATGATAACCGTTGCCCAGAGCCAAAAGGCTAAAATCCAACTTTATTCCAAGATAATCAAGAATGAACTCTGGAAAGGGGTATAAATAGCCTTCTAGTAAGAGATTCAACAGAAACCCTAATCGAGCCCAAATTAATTAAACCCTAATCGAGCCCAAATTAATTAAACCCTAATTAGGCCCAAATTAACTCTACTAACTACTCTACTAATAATACACCCAAACTAGCAAACATAACATAAACTTTGTAATAATAAATAAAACTATAATCCTAGCCCACAACCAGCCCACGGAGGTGGGCCCAAGCCCGTTCCCGCCCCTTGCTCTCCCTGCTCTCTATCAGATATAAACTGGAAAAAACATAGTTGACATTAGTAGTTTTGAGCACTTCTTAGGCTTGCATAGTTGCTTTGTGCATGTCTTTACTTGTATCTTTTCTGTACCATATTGTACATTTAGATGCTACATTAAAAGAAGGAAATAACATTAATGTAGAAAAACTGATTTCATTTGAGAACAATATAGTTAGGGATTCTTATCTCATTCGACAACACTAAAAGTGACACATTTCATTTGATTGTAATCATATAAAGGGCTTATTCACACTGTGAAGGAAGTTAGACGGCATCCACCATAGGTTTTGTAGTTGATATATACGGTAATTACTTGATACTTGGTGTATTAATCCTGTCCACACTATTTGATCTTATCTATCAGATTGCCACTTCATCTGCCAAGCACTGATAAATTACACGGTGACCTTAATTATAAGAGGCTATCTTGTTATTCCCTCCATTCAACACACACACATATACACATACATATATATATGTGAATGATACTGTCCAGCCGGAGGAACATGACCCTCTGTCAGGCCCTCCATTTGAGGTAGTTCCCGATGAAATTTTTATGAAATTTTGTGAGCATGTTCTTCATGAAGTGTAGACTATGCCCACAAAATTTCAGCTTAAAATTCATGAAGTGTAGACTATGCCCACAAAATTCATGAAGGCAGTTAAATAAATTATTGAAAAACTCTGCACCAAAAAATATAGGGAAAATAACTTTAAATAATACAAATTATCTTCCATGAACCAAGAATAATACATACTTTGGAAATTACTTTTAATAATAGGGAAAATGGAAACTAATAATCTAACCTTTTAGCGGTCTTCTTGCAATAGTCCCACCTTTTGATTATCAGGAATAATGCAACCTTTGCACTCCATCTTCATTCAATGGTCCCTGACCGGTTGATGACATGCTATTCCAAGTTATTTTCTTATCTTTGCAAAACATTATGTGACCATAAAGTGAGATTTATGGTATAATATATACTGCAAAAATAAGAAAATAACTTGGAATAACAGGTCATAAACCGGTCAGGGACTATTGAATGAAGATGAGGTGCAAAGGTTGGATTAGTCCTGAATAATCAAAAGGTGGGACTATTGTAAGAAGACCGCTAAAAGGTTGGATTATTAGTTTCCATTTTCCCTTAATAATACCAACTATCGAAACATAGACCAAAAGTGATATAGAGCAATTTTTTCAATGAAAATTCAGTTAATTAATTCATCAAAAAGTAGTATCAAAATATCAAATAAGTGATTGTATTTCCAAATATCATTTAATAGATAGTTTGCTATTAGATTTTAATGTCTTAAATGATTGGATTTCTTGATGAAAAGTGGCTCCATATTATTTTTGTTTTATATGCAAATAGTTGGTATTAGTAAAAATCATTTTCAAAGTATGTATTATTCTTGGTTCATGGAAGATGAAAAGTTATTTTCCCAAAAATATATATAAAACGCGGTGTTTTTTAATAATTTATTTAACTGCCTTCCTGATTGAATTTTAAACTGAAATTTTGTGGACATAATCTACAATTGAGGAAGAACAATCTCACAAATTTCATTAAAAAATTCCACCGGAAATCACCTCAAAAAGCGGAGGCCGGACGGAGAGTCCTGTCCTAGACAAGATCTTTTTCGTGTATATATATGTGTGTGTATGTGTGTATATAATTTTACATATATAATATATACAAAAATGTTTCAGCTTTGCTCATGAATTTTCTAATTTTCTGTATGGTGATCCATAAATCTTTCTCCTTTTTGTCGTATATATTCCTGCATGATTACTTTATTATTATCTATGTATTCACACATGTAATTATTGTTGTTGTTATTATAATATTATAATTCTTCCAATTAGTGGCTTTGTCTTACAAGTTTAAGGATTGCAAATTTATAATTCAACAATGTTAAATTTCACTAATTTCTTTTAATTTTTTAAACCTTTATAGGACACTTAAGCAGCTGTTTGAGTCATATAGCCACTTCGACAAGGATTTTGCGTGGCATTTATTCCGACAAATTGTTGAAGGGTTGGCACACATACATGGACAAGGAATCATTCACCGTGATCTGACTCCTAACAACATCTTTTTTGGTGCTCGCAACGACATTAAAATTGGGGATTTTGGACTTGCTAAGTTCTTGAAACTTGAACAGCTTGATCAAGAATTTGACGCTGCTGAAATACTTGGAACTTCAGTTGATGGCACTGGTCATATCGGTACATATTTTTATACTGCTCCAGAAATAGAGCAAGGATGGCCAAAGATTAATGAAAAGGCCGATATGTACAGCTTAGGAGTTGTTTTCTTTGAGTTGTGGCATCCATTTGATACAGCAATGGAGAGACATGTCATTCTTTCTAACCTGACGCAAAAGGGAGAACTTCCTCCTGCTTGGGTCAATGAATTTCCAGATCAGGCATCCTTACTTCGTCGTATGATGTCACTGACTCCATCAAACCGCCCATCAGCAACAGAACTTCTTCAACATGCCTTTCCACCTCGGATGGAATATAATTTGCTAGATGATATGTTACGAGCAATTCATACCTCTGATGATACATTCGTTTATGATAAAATAGTCAGTGCAGTTTTTAATGTGGAGATGCCAAACACGAAGGGTCATGCTGAGATTGATGGAAGATTGATAATGTCAGGAAATGATACTTCTTCGATCCTATTCAGTGATTTTGAGACGGATAATCGTGATAATGTTGTGGAGGTGGCTAAAGAAGTGTTCAGACGGCATTGTGCAAAGCATTTGGAGATCATTCATATGCGAATGCTGGGTGATGATTGTCTGCAATCGGATAGGAATGCTGTAAAGCTATTGACCCATGGGGGTGATATGATTGAGCTTTGTCAAGAACTACGCTTTCCATTTGTAAAATGGGTGATTGCGAATCAGAAGTCATTTTTCAAGCGTTATGAAATTTCATACGTCTACCGAAGGCCAATTGGCCACTCACCCCCAAACCGCTATCTACAGGGAGATTTTGACATTGTCGGAGGGGAAACAGCATTGACAGAGGCAGAGATCATCAAGGTCTCTATGGACATTATTACCCACTTTTTCCGAGCAGAAACATGTGATATTCATTTAAACCACGGGGATCTTTTGGAAGCAATGTGGACTTGGATAGGCATCAAACCTGAAGACAGAATAAAAGTTGCCGAGCTTCTCTCTGTGTTGGGATCTTTACGTCCTCAATCTTCTGAAAGAAAGAGGAAATGGGTTGAAACACGAAGGCAACTCCGGCAGGAGCTTAATCTTGCAGAAACCGTACTAAACAAACTACAAACTGTTGGGTTGAGATTCTGCGTGGTTGCTGATCTGGCCATTCCACGACTAAGAGGTGCCCTTCCTGCTGATGAGTCCACACACAAGGCACTCAATGAAATGTCTGAGCTTATCAACTATTTAAAGCTTTGGAAGATGGAGAAGCGCATGTATGTAGATGTGTTAATGCCACCTACCGAGAGTTACCACAGGAATTTGTTTTACCAGATATATTTACAAGACAACGATAGCCCCAGCATGGAGGGTACGTTGCTTGCTATTGGTGGACGTTACGACCACCTGTTCCATAAAACAATGAATTCTCCTGGAGCTGTGGGGACTAGTGTTGCTTTAGAGACAATTTTGCGACATGTTTCTGTAGATACTCTACCTTGCAGAAATGATACAGGGAGTAAAATTCTTGTTTGTTCGAGAGGAGGTGGTGGGTTATTGGTAGAGAGGATGGAACTAGTGGGTGAGCTATGGGAGGAAAACATCAAAGCCGAATTTGTACCTTTGCGTGATCCAAGCCTCACTGAACAATATGAATATGCTAATGAGCATGACATCAAATGCCTTGTCCTCATCACTGACACTGGTGTTTCTCAAAAAGGATCAGTTAAGGTTCGACATCTTGAGCTTAGGAAGGAAAAAGAAGTTGAGAAAGAGAAGCTTGTGAAATTTCTATCTGAAGCGATGGGAGTTCAGTTCAGAAACCCATCCATCTGGAGCTAGATTGCTTGTCAGAAAAAAATCATGTAATGAAATGCAGTTTGGATGAATGATGATAATCATAGCATACTTTGCATTTTGAATGAAATTGAAGAGCACGCATGGTTCTGATTCTTCAGGGAGTGAAGATAAAATTGGTTCTACACATTGAAGATTACGTAACGTGTGAAAATTACTTGATATGTCATCTCCTTCAAGTAACATGTCAAAATTACCCATGGCTTATGTAGTGTCCCAAAGTTAGTAATTAGAAACACACAAGCCATATTTGTCAAATATGGATTGACTAAGAAAAAAAAGTGATAAAATTTTCTACTGCATATAATCAAGTGTAAATCAATTCAATGATTGTTTCATGATCTGCTCCCTGGTAACTCTTCTCCGGCTCAAAATGACTCATATTGGAAATCTAAGATCATCTGCTGACTGCTTCAAGTACCTTTTTTACCTAACTTTTTTCTTCCTGAATTGCATTATGAGTACTTTTCTACTCCGTATCACATACCTAATTTTACTCCGTCTCATTTTGATTTTTCTGCTTTGTAGCCTCTTCATCCTCGTCGTCAAGAACAAAGTATTCATTCTTCTTGGGCATGTAGTTAAACACATCTTTGTTCTGCCAAATAGCTAGTTACTCTACTAATACATTCTGGTGATTCTGCTCTTCACCTTGTGATATTCTGCCGATATATGAAATGGGACATTGCATTAGACAGAACATTTGGCCCTTGGGTTTTCTCAAATAGGACTACTTTTCATTATTCCTTTTTAGGAGTAAAACTTGTGAACGGACCACTTTACCCTTCAAACTTTAAAGACCAGCATGCAGTGGTGTATACAGGAATTGTTGTGAGTGGGGGTGAGTTCATACTACTCCCTTCTCACTTAATCTTTTTGGTATGTCACAAAAAATTCTTTTTTCATTTCCCTTTCTGAAAAATTTTGTGTGAGTGTGTGACTAACATTCGTTTACCTACTCGACCACAATCATACATTTTAATTTTATTCTCACTTTCTTAAAATTCGATTCAAGTCAAACAGAGAATAAATTTATAAGACGGAGAGAGTATATATTATTTCAAGCAGGTCACAAGCAGCTAGACACTTTAAGAAAAATGGTATAAAATTCATTAAAATTGAACACTAATCGGTCAGCTAAAAAATATGAAATCAAGCTTAATAAATTTGAAGCTAAGAATCTAATTTTTCTGATGTTATGTTAATAAATAAATAATTTGAATAAGGGACATATAGTGTATGTATTTAGAATTAATGTAAATTGTAAATGTAGAATTATATCTAAAAATGAATTTATGTTAAGTGTAAAATGTAATGAAGTATATTTTAACTCTAAAAATGTAATGAAGTATAGATTAAATCTAAATATGTTGTATATATTAAGTCACTTTAAATTTGATTAAAACTTTAAAAAGAAAACAAGAAACATAATATATGGAAAATTAAAGTTTGGAACTAAAAAAATGAGGACGGATTCAAACCCTTGATCTACCGCCTACGGAAGGCCTTAAAATGCAATAAGCTCCGCTTCTACTGAACTAGACTGCTATTTAGTTGACAATTTGCGTTATTAAGGTATACATTATGTATATTCATGACACAAATATATGTATAATTGATTTTTTAAATATATATATATATTGGGGTTGGGTGGGGGCCATGCCCCCACGCTACCCTGCCAGCATGTGTATTCCGCCCCACTTCATATTTTTCAATCCCATTTTTGTCTTCACAATTTTTTTTTAACTTAAGTTTACAGCGTTTTTCTGTTTCTATCTGATTAATGTTTGTCTGTTTTCATTAACATTGTTGCTTGATTGTGTCTGACTTCTCTTAGAAGTCAACCTAATAAAAAAGAAAAGGGAAATTCATAAGAATAATAATATCTTAAATATAGGTAAATTCAGCATAATACGTACTTCATGATACTACGAGTCCGGGTCGTCGTCGGGCGTGGGGGCCTTAGAGCAAAGAATGTATCAGGATGTTGTCTGACAGCTCATTTGTCAGGACATTTGGTTGGAGGGTTTCGGAGGGGAGGAAAGTGGAGATTTGTGTGTGTTTGTTTGAAGGAAATAGAGCGGAAGGGAAGGAAAGTGGAAGACTTTCAAAATTCTCCACTTCCTTCCATTCTAAACCCCCCAAATCGGGGTATTTCGGAGGAAACGTGTTAATAAGCACAAACTATCCATCTCCTACGTGAATGAACAAAACGTTATAATATAAAAAGGTAAAAAACAAAAAGTTTCGAAAACTTAAAAAATTAAAAAAATTAAAAAGTTTAAAGATTAAAATATTTAAAAATTAAAAAAGTAAAAATTTTAAAAATTAAAAAATTTAAAAATTATAAATTAAAAATTTTAAAAATTAAAAATAATTTTTTTTTTAAAAAAAATAAAGAAATAAAAATTCCAAACTGAAAAATGAAAAAATATAAAATTAAAAAGGTAAAAAATCAAATAAAATTAAATTATGACTCATGACCATAGGAGTAATATTCAAAATAGTTAGACATGTATCTATTTTTTTAAGTAAGCTATCAAATAAAAGTAAATTACGGAAATATTTTCATTAAACCTTTCCTCCTATTTCCTCCGACCAAACACAAATTTTTTCTTCCAACCAAACACAAATTTTTATCAAAATCCTTCCTTCCCCTTCCCTTCCCTTCCCTCCCCTCCCCTCCCCTCCCCTCTTTTGAACCAAACAAGGCCTAGGTCTCATATTTTTCTATTTCTTGCGCAGATGAAATTGGAACGAGAATTTCAGAGAAAAGATGATAGCAGAAAAGGAAAGAAAATGAAAATAACAAAAGAAATGAAAAGGGAAGAAGTGAAATGAATAAAGATGCCAATTAAATGTGACACCTGGCACCAATGATCTGGTAAATTGGTTTATGAAGGCTGCGTTCACTTTGGAGAGATACCCATTATATTTGATATTTTCAGGAATAACCCATATTTGATATATTGATATAAGAAAGGAAGTGGGCGGTGGTACCAGTGAACCATTTCTACTATTGTTTCCACTTTTCTAAAAATCCTTCTAGGCGCCCGACTAGTTCCCGCTTAGGCGTTAGACAGTGGTCGGACGTCCTGATTTTACTCTAGGCGCTCCGACTAATTGATTTGACGTCTGGTTGAATTAGTCAGCCGTCTAGGACGCCTAGTTGCCCGCCCAAAGAGCTTAAATCGTCCGCCTATGTGTCTAGATTCGTCAAACATTTTATTTTTCTTTTTAAATTTAGTATTCTAAGAGATATATGTATCTTTAATTTTAACAACACATGAAAAAAGCTACTAGTTGTAGGTTAAAATAAGAACTATACATATTTATATATAGTCTTAAGTATTATTATTATTTAATACGGAGTAATAATTATTACATAATGAAGTTAAGTGAGTACGTATAATATATTAGTAAAAGTGACAACTCTATCATTCATGCATGTTAATGTGTATGTGTGTATATTTTACATACACAAACATAACATTACTAATCATATTTATGCAAAAATATTAATAAAACTGTAATTTCTATGTCTCCGATTTGTCCCCGCCTAGGCGTTAGGTATTAGGCTGGCGCCCGACTAGCGCCTAGCGCCTTTTAGAACATTGTTTTTTTCAATAAGGAACAACAATAAATGCAATGTGCACAACTTTGAATTAAAAGGTGATGAAAATCAGTGTTTCATGCCCATAATTTTATAAATCAAACAAATGTAGGTCTTATTATGATGTATGGACTCTTTAAGTCTTAAATCTAATCAGTGTGCTTGCACTTTCAAAAAATCTAAAAAATTCTTTTCTGCAAAATGTTTGTGAAAATGGCAACCTGGAATAGTTGGGGTTTGGCCTTTGGAGTGCCATAATGAAGACCCTAGTAGGGTTGGCTTACTTTTGGTCATGATCTTTTACTAAGTAGTGTTAGGATGATTGCTTACTTTCTGTCACAGTATTTAAGTCTCTTACGTTCATGAGGAACCGGGGCAGGATGGAATTGACCCATTGCTTTGCGACTTGGACAAGGATCATGGGCCAGATGGAAAACCCAGATTCAACAGGCTCGACCGAGGGGTAAACCAGCAGGGATTGCCAAAGGAACCTCCGAATATGGCATGACCACCTCAAGGAAGGCGCCATACGACAAGTAAGGACAAAACATACAATGAGACTAGAAGAAATCGTTTCTACTAAAAAATGCATTTTTTATTCATCGACTCTACTGACAGGTAAATACAAAGGATTCATAAAAATTTCACACAAAAATGTAGATACTTTGAATTATAGAAACAAAGATACTCCCTCATTTTAAAGATTGTTGCATATGGCTTTGGCACGTTATTAAGAAAGAAATAGTATGAGTAATTGATAGATCATACAATATCAAAGGCTAAATTCTCAATGAACAACACACGGTACACACACTTTATTCATTCAATCAAAGTATACAAGCTTTAGACAATTCGAGATGCCTAGTCTCCCAGTCCTGTTCTAGCCAAAAGTCCAACCCCCTTCTGCTAGCTGAGCCCTTCTATTTATAGTAATGTCCACGCAGGGACAACAAACTAACTAACTAACTCGTTAGTTATTAGTTAATAGCAGCATTCTTATTAGTTCTTTTATACACTTTATTATAAAATTCTACCGGCTGTCTTGCTGCATGTCTAACAATACTCCCTCCCTGGAAATTCACCTTGTCCTCAAGGTGAAACTCTGTAAATTGTTCTTTGATCATTTTCATTGACTCCCATGAATATTCAAATTGTGGCAGATTGCTCCAATGAACCAACACTTTTCAATTACCATCTGCATCAACCCTTGTGTCCAAAATTTCTTCTGGCACCACCTGTAACTCCCATTCTTCATTCAGACACTTGGGTAGAGGTTGAAAGTAGGTAGTAGATGAGATGGCCTTTTTTAGCAAAGATATATGAAACACAGGATGAATTTTGCTATCTTCTGGCAACTTCAGCTTAAAAGCCACAGAACTGAGTTTCTCAATTATCTCAAATGGACCATAAAATCTGGGGCTTAATTTTTGGTTCACCCTCTTAGCTAAACTCCTCAGCTTATAAGGTTGGATTTTCAGATAAACCTGATCCCCTATCTCCAATGTAACCTCTCTCCTGTGCTTATTGGCTTGCTGCCTCATCTGATTATGAGCTTTGACCAAATTCTCTTTCAACTCATCCAATATCATATTCCTCTGAGCAGTCAACTTTGAAACTTCTTCTATTGCAGTAACTGTAACATCTCCTCTTATTACTGCAGGAGGGTCCTGCCCAAATAGAGCCTTGTAAGGAGTGATTTTCAGTGCAGCATGATAATTGGTATTGTACCAATACTCAGCCCAATGTAACCAATTAAGCCATTTTTTTTGGTTTTCTTCCTGTCAAACATCTGAGATAAGTTTCC